GGCTTCAAAGAAAACATGAACAAGCTTCTATTCTTTGGGGTATGGATGTCATTTGCTACCGCAGTGGGCAAGTTATGAAGCCAACCTAGAGCAATTTCAGAGTTGTTGAACTCCCTGACCGGAGAAATTAACCTGTCTCCCTCTTATTGGTGTCTTCCACCAGCAAGTGAAGACTTTATTGTTTCATTAGTCGTATTGATTATATTGGTCCACCTCTTGTATTGTTTATGTATTTTATTTAATTATTTCAAAATTTTAATATTTTTTTTATAACCTGAAAAGGTTCCAAAATTGTCAATTTGCTCCATTACATGGGCCTTAGTGGATCAGGTTGCACTCTAGCCCTAACAGGCCAGATGGAAGAAAGCAAAGCACACTCTAGGTTGGTCATCATGCTTACCATTATCTCTTCTTAATGACATTAAATGCTACCAGTGTCCAATTTACTATGAAGAAGATACTGAGGTTAACTGGTGTGGTTAGTCCAGTCACCATTAGTTAGCACAGTGTTTAAATAAAGCTACAAATGCAGGAGCAGCACTTTACCACGGTACTCAGCTTACAAAGCTACACAGAGTCACATTGCAAGTTTAGAAGAGAAATACCTCTCTCTTTATTTGAGAAGTACACTTTGGATAGGAAAGAGTAGAGACAAGAATCTAACTTAGTAGCTAAAGGATGGAAGAAATAGCAAGAGGCCCAGCTGCCTCATGGTGCCAAGAGAGTACCGCATCTCTCTCTCTTGGTTCTTGCTGGTAGAGAACTTCTCTTCACCTGCATGTGACCGAGAGAAAAGAAGGAAAGGGAAATTGTCCCTGAGAACACAATCTGCATCTCAAAGGGGACAGTGGCAGAAGAGTAAAGACAGGAAGAAAGGTCAGTGTGCCTATCTAGCTATCTAGCCTCTCTTGCCACACAGGCTGGACGTCTGAGACAGGGGACATCGCACCTGGAACTTCCAACAGAATACAGCTGCATTCTCCTAAAATGTCCGGGCAGTATTCATGGATCTGCTTCAGACGGTCATTATTAAAGGCAAGCAATTGTCATTCTGGCCCTGCTTGAATAACAGTGTTTTAAGAGCAGCTCTCAATTAGCCCTGGCTAGGTACAAGGAGCTCTCTTCCCTGGGAGATTCATCCCTCCCTGGTCCATTCTGCATCTAGCATTTGCTCCGTTGTTTTACCAAACCCACACTGGAACAGGAAAAGATGAGACTCAAAACCACATTCAAATACTCCAGGGGCCAACGCCATACTAACTGCAGAGTCACCCCTGAACAGCCATAAAAAGGCCATAAATCTATGCAGACAGTACAATAAAACCGAGAGATCAAAGGAAGTGAAACCAACATGCAGTGTGGAGGCTACCATAAAATCCAACAATCAAAGAAAGTGAAAGGGGCATGCAATGTAGAGGGGAATTTCTGTTCCAATGTGAGTTTGCTAAAACAATGGAGCAAATGCTAGATGCAGAATGGGCCCCCTTCTGTTACCACCTGCCTTCCACTAGCAGGCAAAGACGGCTTTGTTTGGCACTCCCATGATGATCTCTCCTTCCTAACCAATGTTTAATTGCTGTTTTTGTTTTGTACATGTTTTAACTTGTTTTAATGATGTGTTTTGGGGGGTTGATTGTAGTGGTTTTTAAAATGTGATTTTGTCATGTATGTTTTAAATTGTTAGCCGCCATGGGAATGAGAGCAGAAAGGCGGGACACAAATTTTGTAAATAAATTAAATAATGCCTTCAAGACCTAAAATAAATAATGCGTTCAACAATATAGCTAGCAGGGGGAAATAGAAGTTACGACAATGCCATCAAGTTCTTTTCCCCTTGAAACCATAATAGATGGTGTTTGCTTTGGAAGCCTTCATTGTGAATCTACAATAAAAGGTAGCGGTACAGGTTTCCCTTGCTCGAAAGCTAGTTGAATCCGACTCTAGGGGGTGGTGCTCATCTCCATTTCCAAGCTGAAGAGCCAGCGCTATCTGAAGACGTTTCCATGGTCATGTGGCCAGCGTGACTAAACGCCAAGATGCACAGAACGCTGTTACCTTCCCACTGAATCTACAATACAGGACCCTAAAGACTCATATCTCTTATTCTAGGAAGTACTCTTACCTACATCACATTGGGTGGTCTTCCAGACTGTAGGAATAAAGTAGAAGGCAGGAGCATTTAGCAATGCAAGCACATTTTATCAAATCTTCAGCTGCTGCCACACTGAAAGATTGCTGCAACCGCTAAGCCACAGTGGTAGTTTAGGATGTGTGAAGGCTTGTAGAGAACAAGCATCTCTTTCAGCAGCCTTGAAATGACAACACCACAATGGTTACAGCCAGGGCTATTTTGGGGCAGGAACGGAGTTCCGGCTGGCTCCTGAGTTGGTCACACCCAGCAGGAACTCATTAGCATAATAGGCCACACCCAATAGCAGAAACTCATTAGGATTGGCTACATTAGGGGTGTGTGGCCTAACATGCAAAGGAGTTCCTGCTACAAAAAAAGCCCTGGTTTTGACAACAAACAAGGTACAGAATAAGAAGGGAAAGGTGGGTGTGGCTGGATGACCACACTTCTGGTAACATGGGGGTGTGGTCTAATGTGCTAATGAGCGGTGCTGCCAGGGTGTGGCCTAATATGCTAATGAGTTTTGCTGTTGGGTGTGGCCTATTATGCTAATGAGTTTCTACTGGGCTTTTTCTACAAAAAGAGCCCTGGCACAGCCAATGTTCCCTCTAAGCTGTGGAGTCTTGTGAGCAAACATTCTACTTTGTGAGCTACCGGCATGAAAGTTGTGAGCGAGCAATTTGGCTGCTGCATACATTACTTTGCTCTGGAGCCATCCTTCCTGAGCCAAGGCAAAAATGTGTGAGCCAGAGGCTAAAAAACAGTGAGCTAGCTCACACTAACTCAGCTTAGTGGGAACCCTGGTTACAGCTAACTTAAGTGGTTTACTATACTTCATGCTTTGTTACAAATATCATTAATTCCAGTGCTGGGGGTTTTAAAAAAAAGCCACAAAAGCAGCAGGAAAAGGCATGTGTGCCTTATTTTAGATGTTTTCAAGAAAGCCTCCCGTAACCTGCCTATAGAGGTTTCAAAACTTTCTTCTTCCACAGAACAGGTACATATGGAACCCCAGGGATGAAGTAATTTTGGCTCCTCTCCCCATCAGTTTTCACCTTAAAGTCATCCTTAGTTAAAAAAATTACTAAGTCAGGATTTGGCATATGGTGTTACCAAGTGAACAGTATCACTGAACATTTTGGAGAAGGCAAAAACAAGATGACAATGAAGTCAACAACGAAGACGAGGAGGAGGAGATTGGATTTGTACCCCACCCTTCACTAGTGGAAGGAGTCTCAGAGCAGTTTACAATCTCCTTTCAGTGCTGGGGAGTTTACAAAAAAAAAAAGCTACGAAAGCAGCCAAAGGAGTCTCAGAGTGGCTCCTTTCTCTTCCCCTCCCCACAACAAAGCCCTGTGAGGTAGGTGGGGCTGAGAAAGGTCTTTCGAAAACTACTTCTAAGAGAACAGCTCTGAAATAACTTGTAACTGACCCAAGGTCACACCAGCAGCTGCATGTGGAGGAGTGGGAAATCAAACCCAGTTCTCCCAGATTAGAATTCACTCTCCTAACCACTATACCAAACTGGCTCTCCTCCTACTGACTAGGAAGATCCCATAGAAGTGAACCAATAGTAGGGATTCTGAATACACAGAACAGATTCTAATACAACATGCATCTTTTATTCCTTTCAAGCAGAGCCAAGTTGCTCCCATTCCTGTTCCACCTCCTGAAAAAATAAAAATTAGGGTTAGCTGGAGTCTGTTAGTCATAAGCATTTTTCATCTATCTATATATATATATTAAAGGAAGTCCCCTCACCATAAAATCAACGCCCAGGCCAAACCGGTGGACCTAGAAACACCAAATTCGGGGAGAGCACTCCTACCATGGCGTAGGTGCTCACTAAGAAGGGATTTTTAGAAATTCGACCCATAAATGGGTCAAAAGGGGTAAAATGTGCTCCCCCCATTGATTCCTATGAGGCTGTCAGGCTGCTGCCTACCTGCACCCCCCACTCTCTGATTCGTCAGTTGCAGAGCTCAGTGTTCCGAGGTAAAAAAAACAGTTACAGTAGACTGCAGAGAGCTAACAGCAGTTGAGGAGATCAGGAATGGCCAACAACCACCTGTGAGGTGCAGCAGTGCTGCTGGCCGAGCCTCCCCATGGCTTCAAACACCTCCCTCACCTCCTATACCTGTCAGGTGCAGCAGCAGTTGCATGGCGCGTAAAGCCACCAGGGAGGGCCCCCCAGCAGTAACACCTTAGTGATCCTGCCAGCCCCGCCTCCACAGTGGCTTCTGATACTCCTCCCCCTCCCGCACTGGACAGGCAGATGCCTGTCAGGTGTAGGAGAGGAGGTGGGATGCTTACAGCAAAACAATCCAGGAACACAAGTAGAGAGGCTATCACTTTCATGGAAGTTGGCAGGAGTTGACTTAACAGATGACTGCTTCTTAAATGGACAGTTCTACGTGGCCTGCTCCAGAGTGAGCTCACCAAGCAGCCTGGTGATCCTAGCACTTGAGGGCAGAACCCCAATGTGGCCTCGAGAGAGGTCCTTCAGTAGAGAAGTATGAGAGTATGTCTGACTTCACTTCTTACACTACAATCTTCTCCGTTAGAATTCCGAAAACACATGTCACATTTCAAATTTCACATCATCAGTATTATAACCGGATTTACGGAACTTAAATACCGTAGCGAAGCACGGGTATCAGGCTAGTAGACAATATTCTATAGCTGTCACTGCTTTATCCTGAGATATGCATTGTATTCAATTCTGAGAAGATCTGGTAATAAGGCTTCAAATCTCCTCTGTGGGATACAGTGCTGTCTTCTGGGTACCCCTTCATGCCATGATGCTGAAAGTCTCAAAAGAGCATAGAATGGATATATACACAGCATCCTTACCTTGCTGGATGTTAATCTATTTCTTAGCTGCTGGCTTCCTCCCTCTGCCGGCTGCTTTTGGCTGTATAAAGACAAAACACTTTAATGGATACAGATACAAGGCCCAAGAAAATATTTTAGGAGCACCGCGAAAGGTAGGCATACACAGCAAAAGGCTATGAGGTTCATCAGTTGAATCCTACAGTCAAACTGGGGGTGGGAGCAGCAAGGTCTTGGGTTTACCTTTGCACCCAATTAATTTATGGCTCTGAATAGGAGCCTAGAGCAAAGCTATATTAAGTAACCGGATCCTCTTGCGTTACTTGGTATGCAACGAAAAGCAAATTCTAAGATGGTTCAGGGTGCTTATTGACAGACTTGTTTCCAGCAGAAGTCCATATAAGAGTGCCAAAGACAGCAAGCTGTTCTGAAGTGGGAGAGAAAACAGCTTAGGGCACACCTAAAATTATAGAGCGGGGACCCCCAACCTTTTTGAGCCTGCAAGCACCTTTCAAATTCTGAAACAGTGTGGTGGGAACAGTCACAAAATGGCTGCCACAGGAGGCAGAACCAGACACAAAATGGCTGTCACTAGGGTTGCCAAGTCCAAAATTACTTACCGTCGCCCTCAAATCATAGAGCGTGCCGCCCCCAACGTGGCCAGCGTGATGATGTCACCTCTGGGTGACATCATCATGCTGAGGACGTGTGCCGGAAGGAGGTGGAGTTCCCTCCGGGGCCCGATTTGCTGGCGTCGGGTAACGGGCCTCTCGGGTGGGGGTTTACCTGCCCCCTGAGGGGACTTGGCAAGCCTAGCTGTCACAGTTTACCTTCAGGCATAGAGTGAAGATCTGTGTGCTGTGGTGGCAACGACTGCTAAAGTCACATTTTTAAAAATCTGCACAATCAATCAGAAGCCTTGCGGGTCAAAAGCCCTATTGGGCCCCACCTACTTTTTAGAAACACCTGGCAGGCCCCCTGGTGCCCATGGGCTGATGCTGGGAACTCCTGACACACAGGGTTCTACGCCAGTATAACCATCATGGTTTTGCCTCAAGGAAGTTTTCCTTCAGCAAGGTGCTGAGACTTTATTTAAAACATTTTTATGCCACCTCTCCAGAAACCTGGTTGAGGCAGCTCACAAAATACTCTGTTCAAGAACCTTCTTCAAGTTTTATTCTGAGGATTTTGTCCAAGTCTCAAGTGCCCTTCATTCCCAGAAGATCGGTTTTCTAAGACTCTCCCAGTCCCATATGACCAAGTAGCCTTGCTGAATCAAACCAACACCCATCTAAGCTAGAATTCCTTTCCCCAAATATCCACCAGTATTTTACAATTAAGGCATAATGCTATTTAATTGGCAGACCCCTTATCTAAAGTTGTGCTGCACCAAAAATCATGTTAAGTGTTCTGGGCAAATCAGCCCACAACAGACAAGGTCCATGTCTTTCACTAGTTCTTCATTCCAGGGTCATCTACAGACGAAGCCTCTTTTTCCTCACAAATGTAGCTTTACCTGAGATTGCTCCTGAGCAGCTAGTTCTGTCTCCTTCTTGGATGCAGAAGAACGCTTGGAGGCTGGAGCCTTGATGGGCTTCACTGGAGACTCTTCCTTGGAACTTTCCTCCATATCTTCATCTTCCAAGGACTCTTCTTCCTCCTCCTCCTCACTCTCATTCCATGCACTGACAGCTGCGAACAGGAAATATGGCACATGAAGCTATCAAGATAGTAACATGCACTTTAGGTTTCAGTGGGCCTTTAGCACATGATCAATCCAGCAGTGTTCCCTCTAAGCTGAGTTAGTGTGAGCTAGCCCACAGTTTTTTAGCCTCCGGCTCACCCATTTTTGTCTTAGCTCAGGAAGGATGGCTCCAGAGCAAACTAACTAATGCAGTACCCAAATCGCTCGCTCACAATTTTAATGCCAGGAGCTCAGAAAGTAGAATTTTTGCTCACAAGACTCCACAGCTTAGAGGGAACATTGCAAGCCAGCCAAAATAGCAGGACTCAAAACTGAACCCCACGTGCCTGGCACACGAACTCCCATCATTTCATCTGGCTTGGGGAAATCTGTCTAGAGTTGTCATCTGTGGCAGAGAATTCAGTTTTCAGACTGTTCCCCAGCCCAGAGCTGCCATTCCTGATTCCCGGTGCCATTCCCGGTGGGGGATTGGGGAGGGGGACTTAGTGGGAGCAGAAGGGAGGCTCTGCCAATGTGCTGCAACATGCCCACATCACTGCCAGTGGGTGACATTCTGGTATTTGGGTAAAAACTCTATGGTAAATTTGGCTTCTACCCTACAGTTTTTGCCCAAATACCAGAGCAGTGCCCGGACACACCTGATGTGATGGCGTCACTTTCAGGTCACGTGAGCAGTGACGTAGGCACATTGCTGCACATCAGTAGAGCACATCACTAGAGCCTCCCTCTTTCTTGGAGTAAGTTCCCCCTGCCAACCAGCTGATCGGCAACTGAGTGGTAGGGCCCGGCAGTGGGAGATCCCCGCCTCTACTAGGGAGGCTGGGAACCCTATGATGCGGCTTGCTTCAAAGCATCATGTAGTCTTCCCAGCTCCGAGGACACCAGCCTTAGTTCCTGCCTTCATCTCAATCCAAGCCCTTCACCTCCAGTTCCAGGCAACGGTTCTGCAGTCGCCCCATGCCCGTTACCTGACTGTTCTTCCAAAATGAAGTCTGGAACTTGCTTAAATCCATAGAGAAGCATTAGATTAAGTGCAGCGTCCGAGATTCCTCAGCATGGAGTCCAGAGTGGGGCACCCCCTGTATGGCCGCCACTAATCATCAGATGGACAAACTGCAGGGGCTCCTCCTACCTAGCCAAAGCTGGTGGCCATTCAGGTCGATAAATCTTAAACTGTTCCTGCCATCTGTTTCCCTAGGATGTCCCAACATAATCCCTGGAACACTCTGAAGCATCAAGGGCATTCATAAGTGACATGAAAAAGTTATCAGAGTCTTTGGCCAGCGACCCTGCAATTATCAGTTACTTGGATGGGAGACCTCCATGGAAGTCCGGGGTCACTATGCAGAGGCAGGCCACGAAAAACCACCTCTGTTGTCTCTTGCTTTGAAAATCCTATGGGATTGCCATAAATTGGCTGCAGCTAGATGGCTCTGCTAGATGGAGATGCGGTGGCTCAAGTGATTAAGATGCTGAACTGCAGGCTGTGGAAGGTTGGTAGTTCAGCAGTTCCAGACCCGAGTGTGCTGCATGATGGAGTGAGCTCCTGTCTCTAGTTCCAGCTCCTGCCAACCTTTACCTTTTTAGATGGCACTAGGCACACACAGTGCATCCCTTGATCAACTTTAGATCACTGCAGTCTACACAACATAGCATTTACCTGTCATGTGCTGTCCAGCAAGATAGACTGGCCCGCTCCCCGACTTTAGTCTGAATGTGACAGGTGGAGTTAGATCAAGTCCTGGTGTGGCAATCTAGAAAATAGGCAAGTTTAAATTATGAGGTGTGCTATGAATAGGATGCCCCACATAGTTAACAACTGTCATGCCAACTTAAAGTGTTAACAGGCTCATTTCCTCAAAAGCTAAACTCCACTGGGGGATATGTCGGAGAACACTAAGGGACCATCTAGACTGGCACTCCAGGCAGATTTCTTTGGAAAGCTTGAGTAGCTAGCTAGAAGAATTTCTGGCAAAGAGAGCTGTCACAGCCCAAACAAGGCACTCACCATTGGGAGAACTGAAAGTTTCAAGTTTGCTATGCATACTGGAGCAGATTCCTTGCTGTCCTTTTGGGGTACAACCTCCACAACATTAAATTCATCTTTGGCTTTCTCCCCTAGGCAGATCTTAGAGAGGGGGGGGGGAGATCAGTCAAGGCCTCAGAACAAGTCTAGCAACACCAGAAACATTTTTGAACAGATCTGTAGCATTCTATTGGTAGAACTGTGTTAAATACTGGGTTCTGGATGCATTGCAGTGATCAGCTCTAGTTTATTCAGTGATTTCAAGCACACGAAACAAACTGAACTCCAGGTCTTGCTGCCTTGTTTTTAAAGCATGCAAAGACCACACCCTGACACACCCCACTCCCGAGGATAGGCTATTTACATTACACAACTATACTATAGGTCACTTCCAAGATCCTGGTCAGCTATTGTTCTGGGGGAACAAGCTCAGCCAGTTTCCAGGTGCTATTCAGGCTCAATACATAACAAACTGTGAGGAAGCTCTACATGAGTCAGACCTCCAATTTAACCCAGGATGGGTTGTCATTTGAGATGTAGGCTTGGACCATTGTCTAGAAGCTCTAAAAATTAATAAGAGGTCATAGGCAGCTGCTAAACCAAGAGGCAAGGACTTTTTCCACCTAGGAATTTGTTCCTTGCTGCTGTCATCCTTGGCCTAGTTCCATGTGCCCAGCTCATTTTCTTCAACCACCATTAAATCACAGCTCTCCAGCCCGGTCAGGCCAAACATAAAAGTGAAACTGCATCACAGATTCCTTTGCAATGGTACAGAGCTTGGGACATGAGCTCATTTCAGACACAGCCCAGCTCAACATGGCAGGGCACATTAACAACAGTGGGAGCATCTCTCACAAGCCTTTATTTGGTGCTTCTATTAATCCCTTGTCAATCAAAGCTGTACTTTAGGGTCCCCTGAAGGCAGCCTCGTGTTCTTCATCCACTTCATTGGCTACACTAGTTGGAAATAGGTTTGCCAGTTCCCCCCTGGCCACTGGTGGGGGAAGGGGGATTGGGTTGCCACACCCAATTTGAGAAACTCCTGGAGATTTGGGGATGGAACCTGGGAAGGACAGGGACCTCAGTGGGGTAAAGTGCCATAGAGTCCCCCCTCCAAAGCATCCATGTTCCCCATAGGAGCTGATCTCTGTAGACTGGAGATGAGCTGTAATTCCAGGGGATCTCCAGGTCCCACCTGGAGGCTGGCATCCCTACTTGGAAACCATCAACCTTTCTCATTTGATACAAGGGGTAAGAAAGGGTTCCCCTGTTCCTTTATTCTATTTGTTGAAAGTTTCAGGTATCTGCTTCTCGGTGTTAGTTTTGTAAAGTCACTGGCATTGTATATGTGTGCTGTATAGTTTGTTTGTTTGTTTTAAAAAAAACAACAGGTTACACAGCATAGGCATGTGCAGTATACATCATTTGTACATCTGTAGTGCCGACATATTAATGCACCAACATTGAGAAGCATATATATTTCACAGGAAAAATTGGTGCAAAATCCACAGAAGAATTGTTTTTTCAAATCAGAGTTTCAAGTTGCACGAGAGACCAGCAAAATCAAAACAGCGACTCTCAGACTAAAACAGTGATGAGTCTATCCTGCTCAGGACCGGCCAGCACCACGAAGTCTTCTTCACCCAAAGAGTGATTAACACTTGGAATTCACTGCTACAGGAAGTGGTGGCAGCTACAAGCATGGACGGCTTCAAAAGGGAATTAGATAAGCATATGGAGCAGAGGTCCATCAGTGGCTATTAGCCACAAGGTATAGATAGGGACTCTGGGGCAAGTGATGCTCTGTATTCTTGGTGCTTGGGGGGGTGGGGGTCAACAGTGGGAGGGTTTCTAATGTCCTGGCCCCACTGGTGGACCTCCAGATGGCACTGGTATTTCTGGCCACTGAGTGATACAGAGTGTTGGACTGGATGGGCCTTTGGCCTGATCCAACATTGGCATCTCTTATGTTCTTATGTTCAAGTCCTTACCCAAACTGGTTAGCAAGACACCTACCGTCCTCAAGGCCAACTGCTGCTCATAGGACCACTCCTCTGGGACTTCAAATGTATAGGTTGGCGTCTCCCTGGTTAGCTCACACCCTGTGCATAAAGCAGATATCAGAGGTGGCCCCTTGGCCCTCCCATCCCACCCTGCTAGATTTCAGAGGGGAAACCAAACACCCAGAGGTGAAGTTCCTTACCCCACACCAGCGAAATGGGTTTCTCTGATCTACAGCTGTCATTGTTGCTGCTTTCCAAAGCCATTGTTTTCAGAGGGACTTTTTCCTATCACAGGGGAAAAGGCAGACATTTCAAGACACCCGTATGCTTTCGGCTAGGAACTTCAAACTCCGCTCCAATACATTCACACACACTAAATAGCCCACTTTCAATCCACTTTCCAACTGGAACTTGTATGAACTGGCAAAATCCAATTCAAAACTGCATTGAAAGTGGATTATTTCATGCGCATGATCACAGCCTATGTACTTGCTTCCATTGGTGCTTGCATTCAATAAGAGACTCATGGCTCTTAAGAAGAAGAAGAGAAGAAGAGATTGGATTTATACCCCGCCCTTCACTACCCAAAGGTGTCTCAGAGTGGCTTACAAACTCCTTTCCCGTCCCCTCCCCTCCCCTCCCCACAACAGACACCCTGTGAGGTAGGTGGGGCTGAGAGAGCTCTTGACAGAACTGCTCATATCAGAACTACGGTTTGCCCAAGGTCGTCCAGCCAGGTGCAAGTGGAGGAGTGGGGAATCAAACCCGGTCCTCCCAGATTAGAGTCCGCGCACTTAACCACTACACCAACTTAATCCATCTTAATTCAGCTAGTGTTTAGTCTGTGGATTTATACCCACACATAAGACGTTATGAGTATCCCAGATGAAAATTCTGCATTCTTCCAGTTGCATACTCCCACTTCTCTACTCAGAGAGAAGTTCAAGGCAACCCAAACAGCAGGTTGGAGTTTTTTCCCCACAGTGACTGTGGGCATCAGCAGAACTCTTTGTTTCTACATAATGCAATATTAAAGAACAAGTAGCATTTGGAAGTAAGAATATTAAACTCATCAGCTGGCCTTGAACCACTGAACCCCTCAATTCCCCCAGCTAAGCACAAACAGCTTGTTCTTTGCCTATCACTATTTTTAACCTACTCCAAGGTTTAACCCTCCTACTTGTTCTACCTTCATATCAGTCCTGTGAGACAGGGAAAGAAGAAAAGAGGCTCTCTTTAAATAAGAATCAGAGTAATGGGTAATTTTAACCCAATGTCATAATTAGATGGCGCTGCTCTCACCCGTGCCCTTGCCCTCTTAAGATACAGGTTATAAGAGGATTTCCCCAAAAACACTTTTTAACTAGAACAAATTTATTTGCTTCCAAGGTAACCCTTAAGGACAAGGGTAGCAATACTAGATAGCTTGTTTGGGGTTCCAACACAGATGTAGCTTAGCATAAGGGTATTTCAGATAACAGAATGCCAGCAAAACTTAAACAATACAAATTCTTTCTGAAACCACCAGCCTTACAGATGCAAAACAATTAGAGCAAACAATCAGATGTAAAACAGACCAGAGACAACTCACCAAACACAGCCTCTAAGAAAGGGGGAGTAAAAAAACTGAGCAAGCCTATAAGTTCTTTATAAAGGATAAACAGGTGAGTTTGGGACAATCAGCTCAGAGACAAAATGTTGGTCTTAAAGAGCAAAGATGTTTTGTCAAGGGGGGGGGGGGAAAGACACCTGTCCCAGATCACATATTTTGGCCTGTATTAGGAATACCTATGATCTTCTTTGGTTCTGAGGTTAAGGGGCAAAAATGTAGGGTATTTCTTAAAATAAAAAATGACCAACAATGTAATGCAATTTGCTATGCAATAGCCTGTAGTAACAGGCCAGTTGTATGCCTGTTTACTCAGAAGTAAGACCCTATGGGCTCAGTAGTGTTCACACTATGCACTGGTGCAATACACCTCAAGCATGGGCAAATATACACAAAAGTTCAGTGGAATTTACTTTCAAGTAAGGGAATGTGTGTTCTTCAGACAGCCTTCTCTTTGCATGCCCCCTCTTAGGATTGTCCATATGGTAACAGCTACATCATAGGCTTTCTCAGTGGTAATGCCAATTCTCTGGAATGGCCTAGCAGACAGGGTGCAGAGGGTACCGTCACTGGCTGCACAGAGGAAGATGTGGAGGTAGGGTCGCCAACAGGCCTGGAGGAAAGTATCCTGTCCCTTTAATAAAGATTGAATTGTGTAAATGAGGGCAGGTGAATTTTCTTGGCAAATATAATCTGGTAAATAACATCCTATTAAGTTTCTATTAATGGGACAGGACATTTCCCCCCCTCCAGCCAACTGATCAACCCTATGTGCGAGACAGTTTTATTTCGCAGGGCATTTGGTAGAGGATAAACCACTTGGGTAGATTTGGCTGTGGTTTTAATCTGCCTGGCTATGCAGTTGTTCTAATAGGTATGATTGTCCTAATCCTTGTTTTTACTTTGCATTGCTTCTTTTAAATTTTCTGTTTGTTTCAGTATACACATAACAACAGGGAAAAGGAAAGGGGGGGGGGAGGAAGAGACGTAAAAAACAAACAAATTAAGGCATTGGTAGAGGGCTCAACATTCAGTATAAATACAAAGAGAAGGAATTCTTTCCCCTTCTTTTTCCTTTTCCTATAAACGTGCATAATTAATGTATAGTTACAACATGATTAAAGTATAGAGAGAGGCTTATTTAACTTTATCCCATAATCTGAGGAAGGGCTTCAACATACTTTGGGTATTACACCCGGCTTTTCACTACTTGAAGGAGTCTCAGAGCAGCTTACAATCTCCTTCCCTTCCTCTCCCCACAACAGACACCCTGTGAGCAGTGTTCCCTCCAAGCTGAGTTAGTGTGAGCTAGCTCACAGTTTCTTAGACTCCAGCTCACACATTTTTGTCT